AACTGTGATAATGTGAGAAATGTTGAAGGTGTCTGAATAAATTTTGGTTTGACTGTATCTATTTGATAAATGAAGTTAACCAACTTGTCACAATTCTCGGGAGGCAAGGAGCGAGGAACGAGGAAACATGGAGATACTTCAATTCACAGTCTTTAATGATCACACGGGGAATGTAGGAGACACTGGAACACAAGGAATGACGTTTGAGGAGCGACAAACACTAACTGAAAGGACTGGGGCTTTTAAACACTGGGTGATTGGAAAAACACAGGTGCAAGGAATGACTAATTAAAGGGAACACAGCACACCTGGGGAGGGAAAACACAACACAAAGAGTCCATGGGCGTGACACTAGTCTTGGACAAGCATCAATTTTGAGCCCTGGTTAATTCCATTAATGCACAGATCGTTTTTTAACATATCAGATGTTTTGTCCTCTTCACAAGACACAACTGACTACTTTAATTAAGTATCAAAAAAACATTTTGAGATGCAAGTGCATTTAACTGCTCACACAGAGTTGAAGAAAAATGGTGATGCATCAAATAATCTTTTTTTTTTTTTTTTCGTGCAAGTATTCAAACTTAGTCTTATTAATTGATACATTAGGTATCATTTGCACCTTTTTACAAAGGTGTGTTTGAACTAAGAATCTGACGTTTCCCTCAGGTGTAGATCTGCTGAATATGCAAATGGTTCCATAACTTCATTCCTTATTTCTCTCCTCTTTACTGCTTAAGCTTTAACCCTTTCCTATACCAACTGTATGCGTGTGTGTGTGTGTGTTTATGTGTATGTTAGACCAGTTTAAGTGTTTATGTGTATGTTAGGCCAGTTTAAGTGTTTATGTAGTATGTTGGACTAGTTTAAGTGTTTATGTAGTTAATAAAGTCTTACTTGTATCACACTTGACGTTGGTCATTGTTTGCTCATAACTGCAGATTTATGCTACAGGCTCTGTGTAGAGTTGTACAGTAAGGAAGTTATTTCCCTTAACCAGGAAATTAACGTTCTTAGAATTGACAGACAGTTGACCCTGAGAGGTCAAGTAAATATCTACAGCGGATCTAAATATTTATAATTAATTATAACTAGTTATGATTAATTATTCATATTTCCCCATGAGCTGATTCGCTACAGGCTGTTGGTGATAGGATATAGGCAAGTCCAGCGACACAACAAAGTTCTGTATGATTTAGCTCTAAACCATTTCTCCTTTATTCAAGCTGTGCTTGATAAGGGGTTTTATAACGGCTTGAAAGTAAAGAAAGCGAAAAGTTAACAAAATTCAGAATAGGTTCTGTGATTACAGGAAACAAGTTTTGATACCTTATGTTGGTTTTGATGTCTGTTACTTTGTGCCATTAAACTGGTGTTAACTTACATTTGTCTTTTTTCACTGTAGACCTGATGACCCTTAAAGAGGAGAGTCAAGAACTGAATGAAATGGAAGAGAAAAATCAGAATGAGAAACATATTTTCATAACTGGAGAAAAATCCACACGTAAAAGAGCTAAGAAGACCAAAGCTAACAGTTCTTTCACCTGCCAACAGTGTGGAAAGAGCTTCAATCAAAAACAAAACCTTATAGTCCACATTAGACTTCACACTGGAGAAAAGCCTTACACCTGCCAACAGTGTGGAAAGAGTTTCAGTCAGAAACAAAACCTTTTAGTCCATATGAGACTCCACACTGGAGAGAACTCTTTCATCTGCAAACAGTGTGGAAAACGTTTTACTAAAAAACAAAACCTTGATATCCACATGAGAATTCACACTGGAGAGAGCTCTTTCACCTGCCAACAGTGTGGGAGCAGTTTCACTCAAAAAGGAAACCTTAAAGTCCACATGAGAATTCACACTGGAGAAAAGCCTTATACATGCCCTCAGTGTGGACAGAGATTTGCACATAAAAACACCCTTAATTCCCACATGAGAATTCACACCGGAGAGAAGCTGTTTACATGTGATCAGTGTGAAAAGAGCTTCACAACAGAACTAAACCTTAGATATCACAAGAACATTCACACTGGGGAGAAGCCGTTTGTATGTGGTCAGTGTGGAAAGAGTTTCGCACATAAGGTAACCCTTAATTACCACATAAGAATTCACTCAGGAGAGAACTGTTTTAAATGTAATCAGTGTAGAAAGAGTTTCAGTCATAAAAAAAGCCTCAGCACTCACATGAGTCTTCACACTGGAGAGAAGCCTTACGCCTGCAAACTGTGCGGGAAGAGCTTCTCACAAAAAGGAAATCTTAAAACTCACTCAAGGCTTCACACTGGAGAGAAGCCTTTCAAGTGTCTTCAGTGTGACAAGTGTTTCACATATCAAAGAGATGTGAAACGTCATTTGCAAACTCATTCTGGACAGAAATGGCAGAGTTCTGAGTGTGACAAGAGGTTAAGAAAAAACAGAAATGTGAAAAATCACCAGCGCAGTCACTCTGGAGGAATGCCATTTAATTGTGATCAGTGTAACAAAAAATTTCTTTTGTCGTCACACTTACAGATACACTTGAAAAGTCATGAAAATGTGAAACACTATTTGTGTTCTTTGTGTGGAAAGAGGTTTAAATGGTTCGGCAAATTAAAATTGCACCAGAAAATATGCGTCTGTGTGAAATTAAGGAAACGTTCACACCGCAGCTGAATGTGGGCAAAATGTGATTGTCGGCCTTTATAACCCCTTCTTTTATTTGCATCACCTCTTTATACTTTGCTTTTGGCTTTTTGTTTTCTTTTTTGCACATTAACATCTGTATCTACACCTAACCATTTACTTTGTTGTAGTTTCAAATCTTGAGAGGTTGTGATATACACCCTCCAGTTTTGATCGTATAGAGACATCTCTCTATTCCATTAATTGATATATTTGTTAAACTCATACTACAATGTAAATGAGAGATTATGAATAAAATGACAAACTACATGAAATAATGAACATTGTGCTGCATTATATGATTCATCTTTAGTGAAAGAATGCACTGGTAATCAGTGTTGGGCAGTAACGCATTACTTAGTAACGCGTTCCTGTAATTTGATTACTTTTTTAGTAACGGAGTAATTTAACGCCTTATAATTTTCAAAATAGAAATTCGAGTATAGTTACAAGCCGAGCTCTCTATACGTTACTTCCGCGTTACATTGCTGACAGAATGCAGTGTTTTATAATCTAGAGATTGTAAAAAGGATGTAGCACACGCATTGTCGAGTCAAGTGCCAGTGGATTAGAGACCTGCTCCCGCGAGACCCGACGAGTCAAATGATTCACAGGACTCCCGCAAAATAGAAATATCTAAACATAAAATATCTAAAACAAATAAATTGTTATTCATCTATTGCACAAAAGCAACATGAACAAATATAAACGATTAACAGGTGCAAGTGTATGCAGAGTTTCTATTTAGGCTATAACACGTGTTTGCAGCGTTGAGCAATGCAGTGCTGAAATTTGTGTGTTCATGAATCCTTTCATTATAACACACGAATTGTAGAAATTATGAAAGATTCATTGTGCATTTATTTATTGTGTTATAAATGCACGCAGCAGCCACTTGCTTTAGTTAAAAATAAGTGTTCTGTGAATGTTGATGCTTTAATAACAAATATTTATCGGGAGCGTGCAAGCTGGGATTTCATAAATTTAATGGAGAAAAAAGTAACGTAACTAGTAATGTAACTAATTACTTTTGAAATAAAGTAATCAGAACAGTAACGTGATTACTTTTAAAAGGAGTAATCAGTAATCTGATTACATTTTCAGAGTAACTTGCCCAACACTGCTGGTAAACATGTCAGTCTGGACTTGAATATGGCTACTGTTGGGGCTCATCTGATGACTTCTGGGCCCGTATTTATCAAGCTTCTCAAAGTGCCATTTTAATGCTGGGAAATCATGAAATTTACTCCTACTTTCAAACTTAAGTATAAAAAGCAAGTTATCAAATTTCTTAAAGCTAAGAATCACTCTTACTCTCCCAGTTATTTAAGACCGCCCGAGAGGTCTCTCAAGTGGTTAAGAACTGTGGTAAGTACTTAGTAAAGCATTTTTATTTACACAGTTTACACTTACAGCAACTTTATGAAAGCTATTTGCAACAAGTGCTATTCGCATTAGATGCCATTTACACTAAGTGTAAATATATAGCGATGGGTATACAGCAAGTATAAATAACAAAATAGTTTTTTCTTCATGTAAATATTGGTTGGTCACTAATTTTCACTGTGAGTAAATAGTGTTGCAGTTTATACACTGCTCAAAAAAGATCAAGTCACTGATCAAGTCAGTTAAACTCCTGGGATATTGATCTGGTCAGTTAAGTAGCAGCGGGGGTTGTTAATCAGTTTCAGCTGCTTTGGTGTTTATTAAATTAACAACAGGTGCACTAGATGGGCAACAATGAGACGACACCCAAAACAGGAATGGTTTTACAGGTGGAGGCCACTGACATTTTTTTCCCTACTCATCTTTTCTGACTGTTTTTCACTAGTTTTGCATTTGGCTAGGGTCAGTGTCAGTACTGGTAGCATGAGGCGATACCTGGACCCTACAGCGGTTGCACAGGCAGTCCAACTCCTCCAGGATGGTACATCAATACGTACCATTGCCAGAAGTTTTGCTCTGTCTCCCAGCACAGTCTCAAGAGCATGGAGGAGATTCCAGGAGACAGGCAGTTACTCTAGGAGAGCTGGACAGGCCGTATAAGGTCCTTAACCCATCAGCAGGACCGGTATCTGCTCCTTTGTGCAAGGAGGAACAGGATGAGTACTGCCAGAGCCCTTCAAAATGGTGTGAATGTCTCTGACCAAACAATCAGTAACAGACTTCATGAGGGTGGCCTGAGGGGCCAATATCCTTTAGTGGGCCCTGTGCTCACTGCCCGGCACCGTGGAGCTCTATTGGCATTTGCCATTGAACACCAGAATTGGCAGGTCCGCCACTGGCGCCCTGTGCTTTTCACAGATGAGAGCAGGTTTACTCTGAGCACATGTGACAGACGTGAAAGGGTCTGGAGAAGCCGTGGAGCACGTTATGCTGCCTGTAACATCGTTCAGCATGACCGGTTTGGTGGTGGGTCAGTGATGGTCTGGGGAGGCATATCCATGGAGGGACGCACAGACCTCTACAGGCTAGACAATGGCACCCTGACTGCCATTAGGTATGGGGATGAAATCCTTGGACCCATTGTCAGACC